CCCAGCCCCGGGGGGCCTCAGACACCTCCCAGTGTTGGAGACCTCAGTCCAGCACCTGAGTGGGCACACTGGGTGCCACCCCCACCACAGACCCCCCCAACCCAACACCAGGGACCCCCAACACCACCTGGCCTCCCTTTCCAGGGGGAACCTGTGCCACCCACCAGCACCCTGCCCTCAGCAGCGGGGCTGGGGGGGCTCGGGGGGCACATCCCGGGTCTCATCAGGGCTGGGGTTGGGGGCGTTCAGGGGCCACGTACCGGCTCTCACCGGGGCTGAGGCGATGCTGCCGCTGCCTCCCCACCGCAGCCGCTCGTATCCTGTTTACTGCCGGCACACGGGGGGGTCCCCCCGCCCCGGAACAGCGCTGCCACCTCAAAACGCACCTAGGTCTGGCCCAGGCGCTGCTGTGGGTCCCCAGCTCCCTGTGGGGACCCCAAAAACCGAGCCGTAAACAAGCACTCCCCGTCCCGCGCCCGCCAGCGCGCAGAGGGGTGCTGAGCACCCGGCCCCCCACCCTGCACGGGAGACCAGTCAAACCAGTTAAACCTCCCCAGTAAGCCACAATCTGCAGGGGGGTGTGCACGCCCCCCTTTTTTCTTGGCAGGCAGCCCGTGGCAATGGAGGGGGGGCAACAGACGGCATGAAACGCCCCCTCACCCCCAAAATGCACCCAAGGCTCAGCCCCTCCTGGGTGACCCCCCACAGCCCCCCAGGGACCGGCAGATCCCAGCCGGGGGTTGTCGCCACCTACGACCCCCCCACCACTCCTCCCTGCACCAGGGAGCCCCCCGGGCAGCCCCAGGCCTCTGCCACAGCCTGGGGACAAGGAAAAGCCACCCCACAAACGCGTGACCCCGAGCCCCCAGCCCACTGTCCTCAGTGGGGAGCGGAGCAGGGAGGGGAGTGGGGGCTGCAGCCCACGGGGTGGGGCGGGAGGAGCCAGACCCACCCACCCACACACACACACACACACACCCCGGGGTGTCTGTGCAGCCCCCGCGGCGGGTCCAGCCCCTCGGCCGCCCTTACCTGCCCAGGTGGTGGGGTCTCGGTGGCTCGTCGCGACCCCGGTAACCCCACGGGGACCCTCGTGGGTGCGCGGGTGCCCCCCGGTCCCACCCCCGGCTGGGTGCGAGGTGACTCAACCGCAGCCCTGCGAGCGCCTCCTCGCCCGGCGGCACGAAATCAGGGACTGGAGCCAGCAGCACCTGCCGGACGGGACTGAACTGGGCTGAACTGGGCTGAACTGGGAGGCGTCAGGCGCCTGGGAAGGGGTGGCGCGGCGGGGATGAAGCCCCGCGGCGGGGGGACCCCAGGTCTGGTGGAGACTCGAAGTCAAGGGTGTGGGAAAGGGGATGGGGTGGGAGACCCCCCCTGCCCTGGTGTCACGCAGGGGTTTGGGGGGGCAGGATGCGGGCATGGGGGGCCTGGGAGGGCACCTGGGCTGCACTGGGGGGACTGGTCTGTGCTGGGCATGGGGGAGCAGGACATCTGCCCTTCCTGCAGCACCCTGAAGCCCCCCACCCCAAAAGCCCAGTGTGGGGCAACGTGGGGTCCCTGGAGCTTTGCTGGTTCCCCATCCCACAGGGTGTCCCCAGCTCCATGGCCCCCACCCCTCAAGGCATTCCCAGCCCATGGCTCCTTTCCCATGGGACAGCCCCAACCCAGCCCCTCCCTCACCCCATGGCTCCCCCCAGCCCCACATTCCCCATCCTGTGGGTGCCCCCAGACCCACAGCTGCCATCCTGCCAGGAACAATCCCATCCTGCCCTGAATGGCCGGGGGTCCTGCCCACTCAGGACCACCCTGGGTGCTCAGCCCCACGCAGGATCAGGCCAGCAGTGCCAGGCAGGGAAAAACCCGGGGCAGGAACATCCCTGCCTGGCAGAGCAGGACCTGTGCCTCAGCTTCCCTAGATCCCAGGGGGAGAGAGGCCAGCTGGGGGGGTTTCAGGCTCCCCCCAGCTTTGTAGTGAGATGGCAGCACAAACTGAGCACAGAACCGCAATAAAAGGGGATTATTTTTAGCCTGGTTTCTCAGGAAATGAGACTTCAGCAGTGACACTGTATCTGTCTGTGGGCCACCCTCGTCTTCCTCCCCTTGCAGGGCACTTGCAGCTCAGCTCTGGTGGGGAGGGGTCCCAGAGGGACGAGGCCCCTGTGATGGCTGTCCTGGGAATGCAGTGAGCGTGGCCAGGTCTCTGCAGGGGGACAGTGGTGTGGGGACAGCCCTAACATGGGCTGGGGGCTCAGATCTGGGTCACCCACCGTGGGCACCGAGCCCTTTTTGGACATCCTGGACCCTTTGCCCCTGCGACATCCAGAGCAAGGAATGTTTATGGGATAGAGAAGGACGTGACAGGATGTGGCCCCTGTTCCTGGATCTCTGAGGAGGGGTGGATGGATGGATGGATGGCACCTCAGTCATGGGTGCCACTCTCTGGGACACATCCAGCAGCTGGGAACAGCCCTGAGCACAGCCAGGGCCAAACCCCATGGCCCGAGGCGTGGGTCCCATCCTGCAGAGCATGTCCCCACCCCACCCCTGCTGACCCAGAGGTGCAGTGAGTTTGCTGGGTCTCAGTCACAGCTGGTGCCTCGGGTGGCAGGACCAGGGCCTGTGTCAGCCCAGAGCATCCCAGTGACACCCAGCAACACCTCGGCCACCAGCACACGGTGACCCAGGGGCTGGGCCAGCCCTCGGGGGTGGTTTTCCTTCCAGCCACCTCCTGGAGCAGCCTCTGAGGAGCAAACCCCGCTCCTGGCTGCTGAGTGCCAGGTGCTGGGTGCTGGCAGTGTCCCAGCGGATGAGCAGAACAGGTTCTGCCTCATTTCTGCCCTGTGTGGGCAGCCCCGAGCCAGCACTGACAACGAGCAAGTCCTGTCCTGCTCCCAGCCCTGCTCCCAGCCCTGTTCCCCCTCCAGGACTCGTTCCTCAGGTCTGGGAGCTGCAGGAGAGTCTGGTTGTTCCTGGGAGGAAGCTGAGGCAGGAGCATGTGCTGGAGCATCGGCAGAGACCCCCCAGTGGGTTTGGTGGGAGGAGCGGGGCAGCACCTGGGCTTTGACACTGCCACATGTCCCCCGAACAATGGGGTCACCTGGCCCCATTCCCCTGATGGGATCTCGGCTCCTGTGCCCTTTGCCCTCCCAGAGCCTTTGATATGCCACTCAAGCCCTCCCTGGACACGCAGGGGTGGACACCAGCTCCCACAGGGATGGACCCACACCTCCCACTGGGACAATCCCAGCTCAACAAGGACAGACCCCAGCTCCCAGGGTGACAGATTCCAACTCCCCCAGGCTGGAGGGGCCCCTTGCTTTCACCCCCTCCAAATTTTTAATTTCAACCCCCCTCCTAACACAGCAGGGACCTCGAGGCATTTCCAGCTGTGGCTCCAGCTGGGAATTACACTGTCTCTGGGAAGCCACCAGCATGAAGACCCCCACTGCTGGGTCTTGCAGCCCCTTTCCCCTCCCCTGCCTGGGAACCATCAGGGACGACAGGGTGAGGATGAGGAGGGATCCACAGCCCCCGGCGGCTTCCAGAGCTCCCCGTGTGCAGCTGCCAAAGTGCAACGTGAGATTGCTCCTCGGGGAGCCCTTTGATGCCCCATCCCCCCCCCAAAACGGGTGACCCCCGGGCCCCCTCCCCTCCGGCAGCTGAGGCAAAGTGATCCCACATCAAAGGCGGCTCCAGGGCTGTGGCATTCCTGGATCCCTGCGGGGAGGGAGGTCGGGGACCCCCAGCCCTGCTCCCCACCGTGGTGCCGGGGGGATTGGTCATGCTCAGCCACTGCGGCCGAGGGCAGAGGGGCAGAGGCAGAGGGGTCACTCGGGGATGATGGCTGAGGCCACGTGGCAGCTGGGATGGATCCTGACATTCTGCTTCACAGCATTCCTCGCTCCCTGGGGCTGGGTTGGCCACTGGGGGCTCGGAGAGGAAAATGAGGGAAGTAGGGCTTGCACACCAGCCTGAGCAGAGAGCTGGGAGCATCCCAGGCATCTGAGCAGCACTACCTGGGAACAACAACCCAGCTGCTTCCATATAATCCCCACATCCCATGACCTGAACCACGCGGCTCAGCTCCCACACATCCCACGCCAGATTCCCTGCAGCTCCCAGGCAGCAGGAGTGGGTTAGGAAAATCCTGCCAGGCTGGAGAGGTGAGGAGGGACCCCTGTGGCCCTGGGGGGGTTTGGCATCCTCACCTCATCCTCCAGCGACAGATGTGTGTGGGATAAACCCCTCGGAGCTGCCACCCCGCAGGAGCTGAGGTTTGGCTGGAGGGGCTGAGCTGGAGGATCCAGGTGGTGTTCCATAAGATGGATGCACTGTGAAACCCCTCAGCCTCGGACACAACCCAATTTTAAGGCTGATCTGCTCCCCATACACACAGCTCCAGCCTCTGGATATCAGATGGAACACAAAATCGGTGGCAGTCAGCAGGCACAGCTTCCCCTGCTCCCAGCTCAGGCAGCAGATCCTGCTGGGAGGGGGAAAACGAGTCCAGCTCTTCCCATTCCACCCTGCTTCTGGCAGCCCCGGGGCCAGCACAGGCATCCTCTCCCCCTGGGAACATGGAGGGCTCCAGACTGGAAAGGGAAAGAAGCTGGGAATGCATCTCCAGGAAAATAAGATGGGAGAGACAAAAGGCAAACTGTCCACAGCTGAAGGAAAACCTTGGAAAATGAATCTTACATCCCAGAACACTTGGCTTCCCCTGCCCAGGCATGAGACCTGGCACCAAACCCCACAAACCCTTCCTGCACTGCAGGGATGGGGATGCTTCTGCCTCCCAAACCTCCTTCCCAACAGCAGGGCTGTGAGTTTTCCCTGGAGGAGGGAAATGGGCAAGTTCATAAAGTAAAAGGTTTATGAGCTCCAGGATCCAGCTCCTGTGGGCAGGAGAGAGGCCAGGGGTCAGCGGGGCAGGGGGGATCCCAACCCCGCTGCGGGCTGGGAGGAGGGAAGAGCCTGGACAAGAAGAGATGCAGCACTTGGAGACATCCACAGAAATCAGTTTATTTCCCTGCCATCGGGATTATGAAACCACAGAAGCAGAGTTTAAATATTTACAAAGAAATCCAGCGCCCCGCAGAGATGAAGGGAACAAAGGATGTGAGGGACGGGGGGCTCGCCCTCGCCATTCCAAACCCTGCTCGGGTCAAAAAGCATCGGGAGCAAACGGGAGGGGATTTCACAGTGGGGTTTTGGGAGTCCCAGGAGCGGGGCTGCCAGACACCCCCAAGTCTCAGCTTTGGCAATTCTTGCAGAGCTCATGGATAAAACACGGGTGGGCCGGGCCCAGGGGGCTCGAGGTTATTGCTGCTGCGTAGGACGGGTCAGCTCCAGCCCCAGGGCCGGTCACTCCAAGGAATCACACTTTAAATAAACACAGAGGGAAAGGATTCCTCTCTCCCATCCCCCCGGGGCACGCTGGCCTGTGGCTACCGGGTGGAAAGGCAGGGGAGCTCCAGAACACACCATCCTTTCATCCTAAGGCTCTCTCTGATCGGGATCTTGGCTTTCTGAGCAGCCCCAGGCCCAGCACCCTCCATCCCATGCTCCCCACACAGGAGGGAAAGGACTGTACAGAGCAGACACCGGCATGTTGGAGCTCCAGAGAGATGGGGAAGGGTGCCAAGGTCGGCACCCACCCCAGGAAAGCCAGCACAGAGCGAGAGAGAGACCATGAAGGAGAAGGGAGAGGCTTAAGGAGCGATTTAAGTGACTGAGGAAAAGGAAACACAAAAACAAGCCCAAGAGGAGGCTCCAACCCTCCCATATGGCTGGAGGAATCAGGGAGGTGGGAGAGGGCAGGGAGGCACATGGGGAGGGGTCTGAGAGCCAGGGGAGTGGCAGTGAATGGGCTCCCCAGTCAGAGACTGCAGGGAGTCCAGGAAAGCTTCCCTGCTGCCACAGGCACTCCTTGAGCTTGAAATCCATCAGGCAGCAGGGTAACGAGCTGGTTTTCCGACTGGAAAAAGCTCTTCTCCTCCCTCTGCAGTCAGCAGGGATCTGCTCAACTGCACATAAGCCTTCAGCCAGGCTTGTTTTTTAAGAACCCACCCGGCTCAGGGCCCTCCAAAACCAGCACCTGCAGGGCAGAGCCTCGGCAGACATAGACCCTGACATGGAAGGGGTGCTGGGTCACACCCCAACTGCCTTCCTGCCTGGCACTCAGGAGCCACCTCACCCCCTACAGCCCATCCTGCCCCTCCCAGGGCTCAACAGGGCCATCAGCCCCCCACCACTGCCTGCCTCACACCAAAGCCAGCCCTGCAAAGCTGTACCCCAGGTGTGCCCTCCAAAGCACACCAAAGGTGCTGAACCAGCCCTGAACCACCGCCCAGGGAGAAAAGCCAGTGTCCCAGTTTGCTGCTGCAAAGCCCAGCCAGAGGATGGGCATCTCCCAGTCCCTTCACCTCCTCTTCTCATCTCTGGTGGCCCCTCTAAGCTCAGGTGCTGCTCTCACAGAGGCCTCCAAACCCCACGCTCAGCCCTCTGCCCCAGAAACACGTCCCTGCCGCCGCCTGGGAGACACAAAGGACAGGGATCAAAGGAAAACGAGAGGCTTGTGAGGAGTGCAAGGACAGATTTAGCTATTCAGAGCACAGGGAGAAGCAGGGAAGCGCTATTTTCTCTGGCACAAGCTGAAAGGGCCCGAGCAGCTGATTCTCAACACTGCACCAGGCTCCTGAAGGGGTGCAGACTGCCATGAGCCATTCCCAAGCCAGCCCATCGACTTTCCTGCCTTTCCAGGCTCACCAGCGGGACCAGGGGAGCTGGCCCTGCCACAGAGCGTCCCTCAGGAGTGTCCCACCTCAACACCTTCCTGCCACTGCCAGGGAGGGAGACAGTGAGTGCTGGGGCACCCCATCCCCCTGGGAAGAACCCCACACCTCCACTTGGAATGTGTGCTACTGGAGAGACGTGCAACAGGGAAAACAACTCCTAACTGGAGACTCAGGGAATCCGAGGGAGCATCTGGTGGAATCTGCCAAGAGGATGAAAGCAGGTGGTCAGAGAGAACCTTACAAGGTGGATGTGCTTGTGCTCCTGGAGGAGGCAAGGTTTGCCTTGTGGCTTTTCTTGGCACTGAAAGCAAAGGTGCCCAACCCTTCCCTTTCTTGATCCCATTCCCACCTCCCCAGCTGCAGGCAGGGAGAGAGCAGGAGCTTCCAGACCCCTGACACTGGGAGACACCATCGACAGAACAAAAACAGGAGGAAAAGAAGGCAGTTCCAGGAAACAAAGATGAGCTGTTACAATGGAGTGGGGTCACCACCTTCCCTGGAAAACGGCTCCCAGAGTCCCAAGCCTCCATCCCGCTGGATCAGTCACAGTTTCTTCCTTCGTGTGCTCAGGGATTGGGGGGTTCAGAGCTGCCATCACCGCAGGTGCAGGGTGAGAACAACGGTCACAATCACCCCCAGGAACAGGACAAAGGGCAGCCAGGTCTTCACAAACCCCCCTATGCTGCAAGAGGGAGACAGGGGGAAGGTTCAGACGTGGGAAACCAGCAGAGACAAAAGGACGGGGGGATAACTGGAGCAATCAGAGGGAGACAGACGCCTTTCTGACTCTGTCATCCACTGCCACACATCCCATCATGCTGGAGATACAGTGTAAAAACTGGGACTAAGTCAGGTCCACAACAAAAATATCACAAAAACAGAGCTGGAATCTCCTCCCAGCTTAAATTAAGTCAGAGACTGACACATTTAATACCTGCACAGACAGGAATGGTGACAGACCACAAAAAATGAAACCTCATTACCACAGACAGCGCTGTTCTGAGTGCTGGTGGATTTAACCAAGACAGCAGGAGCTACACTGGTCCAAAAGCTGGTAAAGAAGCTTTTCCAGAACAGGGAAGAACCCACAGAAGTGGAGATTTATGCAGGGCAGTCCCTGCAGAATCTCTTTTTCAGGCACAATGAGCTGGAATGGAGATTCAGTGCCCCTTCCTTAAGGAAAGCTCGGGCTTTCCCTCTCCACTCCAGTTGGAAGCTCCACAGCTGCTGGAAATCCAACTAGTTTTTATGTAAACAAGATTCAAGAGAGGGAAGAGAAACCAGTAATCCTTGGAGACAAGCCATCCTGTGACCTTATGTTCTGACCTAACCCAGCCAGAAGACAACACAGAGTGAGATTTGCTTTAGCTAGCATTTCCCAAATTCCAGGCGCTCCAAATTAGCAGCCAGAAAGAGTATTTTGGGAGCAGCATCTAGTGCAAACCAGCAAACACTCCTGAATCTAAGAACAGGCAGTGATGGTGCCACCCACCAGCAACACACCCACGGGTTGGGAGGGGGGGAGATGTTTCTCCCTTTTCCACAGGACAAATGGATGCTCTAGAGGGCTCAGGAGAATGAAAGAGCTGAGTCCAGACTGTCCCTCGGCTCACCTGACGTATTTCCCATACAGGAGTGTGAAGAAGCAGAGTTTCACCATGTTCCAGGAGGTGCTGTTATCATACCTCATCAAGTTTAAGGCCAGGGCCACGTGGGAATGGCAGTTATCACAGCAAAGGTTGTGCTGGAACAGGGAAAAAAAAAAGGGATTAGACATCCTGTTCCTGACCCAGACCTGGTGCACCCTCCAAACCGCTGGGGAGATATAAAAAATCACAGAATCCCAGAATGGTTTGGGTTGGAAAGGACCTTAAAGATTATCCAGTTCCACCATGGATAGGTACACCCTCCACCAGACCAGGCTGTTCCCAGCCCTGTCCAACCTGGCCTGGAACACCTCCAGGGACGGGGTATCCCCAGTATCTCTCCAAACTCCAGGGATATTTCCCCCCCCCAGACTGGAGCCGTACCATGCGGTGCTTGTACTCCTCCGAGGCATCGTGCACGGCCGTGTCCCAGGCGTTGGGACCAGTGGCGTAGACTTTGTTGGGATCCAGCTTCCAGTACCTGGAAGGATGAGAACAGATCCCACTGCATCACTCTGCTGCTGCACCTTCACCACTTCTTGCCCTTCCGAGATCACAGAATCTCCGGAGTTGGAAGGGACCCGTGAGGATCGTCGACTCCAACTCCTGGCCCTGCACAGGCTTGAAGGACTTGGAGAAATCCACTGCCTCTGGAATCCACAGAGCCCAGCTCTTCGAATAAGCAGAGGGCAGCAGAAATGGCTGCTCAGCACCCACAGCACCCCAGAGAGAGAGAAATCACAGACCTCAGGGGCACAGAACACCCTGAACTGCTTTCATGTCCCGTGGTACAGAACCTCCCGGCCACTCAGGACACAAACCTGACCTGACAGATCCACAAACCCCAGGCACCTCTTCTCCTCCCCCCAGAATCATTAACAGGACCTCAGTGACGACAGTTCATTAGTACAGCCAGGCACTGTTTACTCAGAGCACTTGTTAACATCATCTTAAAACCTTTTAGCCTTTTTCTTTTCCTTTTTTTAAACAAAGGCTCCACACAGCTCTGGTTATTAATGCCATGACGTTGCTGTCACGCTTCTAAGAAGATTTAATTTAACGTGGTTTCTTGAAAAGCAGAGCCACAGTGGCCATCAATGTGAATTAGGGCAGCTGAACACCAGGAGAAGCAATATCACAGCTCCTCTGTCCCCATGAATTAAAGGACACCAGCAGGTCAGTTGGTCAGTTTAATAAAAACAAACAGCACTTACTTCACTGGTTTCCCAAATGCCATGTTGTCTTCCTACAAAAAAAAAAAAAAAAGAGGAAAACTGTCTCAGGAGGATATAACCCTGTGCAAAATTCATGGCATGGATCGTGCTGGAAGGTCTCACAGCCCAGGATGGCTGAGTGATAAAACTGCCAGGCTGCCTCAGCAGTCCCCAGACTCCAATCCTGTGTGTGCCTGGTTTAGATTCCGATTGTTTTCATACTCCTGATCTGAGCTGGAGTGTATTTCTACTCCAGAAATATTCCCTACACGGGGAATACAGGGAATAAGTGCCTTGTTCCCCTCCTTTTTTTTTTTTTTTTTTAACTGTTAATATTTTGTTACCTCAAAGTTGCAAATGTCCCAGTCTATTCAGAGTACTAATCATCCCAAATTAAAACTCACTTTGCTTCCAAAACCCACTGGACCACAAGCAGCTTTCAGGACTGGCACATACAGCACAACAGTTAACAGCCATGTTACTTCTGTTATTCAGAATTAGATTGCTGGAAGAGAATTTAGGTCCAAAACACATAATTTAGAGCCTGGAATACAAGATTTTTTCCCTTTCTGCTCAGCAAAACAGGCATCTATCACATCCCCAAGCGAGCTCCACTGGAGCTGCCCACGGAGCAGCGATCCATGACCTTTAAAAGAACTTAAAGCTGTTATTTTGCACAGCTTTGGAGCTGCAAGAGGCAGGGATGGCTCGAAAGTCACGGAGGAAGGAGAGGAGCAGAGGGAGCAGGGATTCTCCCTATGCACCCGGATCCAGGATCTACTTACGGAGACAAAGTACGGCCCCGCGAAGTCCCGGATGACTCCAGTGGATGTGCAGATCCCCATGTGGCCAATGATCGGGAAGAGCCACCTACCAAGGCAACAAGGGGTCCATCAGGTGGGATATTTGTCCCTGATCACACCCAGGGCTGGGAACTGCTGCACTGGGAATGGCTGGGGCGGGAATGGCTGGAGCAGGAATGGCTGGAGCGGTCGCAGCCAACGGCACAATGCAGGGTGGGCAGGCTCGGATAACCTGGGAGACACGGCTGGGAGGAGGAAAGGGGGGGAGCCAAAGCCAGGGAAAGGCTGGTAAAGACCAGGAAAACAAGGGAAAACGCACAGGGAATGCCCAGAACTCCGCTGGCAGCAGGTCTAGAGGAGAGCTCCAGACACACACCCCAGACGGAAGGGCGAGCCCCGCTCTCCCCGACAAACCCATTTGTGGAGCCAAGGAAAAAGATTAGATCCTGGAGAAACTGCCTCGGGATAAACCGGACTTTCCACTCCACTGAAAATCAGGTCACCCTGCCCATCTTCCCACCGCCCTGCAGCTTTCCACAGCAACCTGGATTTAAGCTGTCTGGATAGAAAACAGAGTTCCTGGCTTTAGGAAGATCATTCCCTCCTCTAAACGATCCCATTGTTTAAAAGACCTTCTCCCTGATGGGTATTTACAGTCCCAGGGAGCAGCAGACCTTTATCCCAACCCCCTTTCCATCATTATCACTTAGAATTAAATACTCCAGGTCACATTCCAGCCTTCTCCCACATTCTCCAGCATCCTCAGGTTTGGTGATCTCCCTCTCACTCCTCTCTCCCCGAGGGACTGAGTGCAGGGGCTAATATTCCAGAATAGACCACAGCAACGGATTCACAAGCCATGGCTTCACCAGAGACCCTAAAAAACCCACCAGAGATCCCAAAATAAAGTGGGACCGAGGCCTTTGGAGGAAAGTCAAGCCACACAAGCCAACAAGAGGGGCTGAGGATATAAATAGCACATAGTTTTTGGATAGCTGTGGATAACAGCTGTGGATAACAACCCTATGACGTGGGGAAAGGCCTCTGGAAGTCCAAAGTGTGGCTGGATTCAACACTGCCACCTTCCCAGGTACAGACACTTCCTCTTTGTAACTCTCCTCTCAGCAAAATGCTTGATTATCCTTTCCATGAAGAAATTTTCCCTCATATCCAACCCAAACCTGCCCTGGCACAACTTGAGGGTGTTTCCTCTCATCCTGTCCCTTATTCCCTGGGGGCAGAGCCCGACCTCCACCTGGCTCCACCCTCCTGTCAGGGAGTTGCAGAGGGAGCAGGGCCCCCCTGAGGCTCCTTTTCTCCAGGACGAGCCCCCCCCCAGCTTCTCCTTATCAGACTCGTGCTCCAGATGCCACAATCCACCAGGGAATGCTCCCACAAACAGGGGCGCTCAGTGGCTCTGGCAGCAGGGCAACTCTCTTTGTGAGCCCCAGCAGGGGTTAAGGAGGTCAAAAAAGCTTTGCAAAATCCTCCAGGAAAAGACTGGGGTGAGAAATTTAAGCAATCAAAAAAGGAAAGAGATAAACGGGACAGCAAGAGGGAAGGTGCAGCTTCTCCTGGGCGAGGAGAGCTCCGGACCATTCCCGATCCTGGCACACACCACACCACATCTTCTACCTGACTTTGAGCTCCGGCTCAGTAAACATCACCTGATGGGAACCGGAGGGGAAGAGGAAGGCAGGAAAACAAGCCTCGGTGTGCCCAGACAACCCCCACAGCCACATCCACAGCTTTTCACGTTCCCACGACCAGAGAAAAACTCAGAAGTTCTCCCTGGAGCCTGCTCACACTTGGCTGGAGAGCCTGGGAAGGCAAACCCAGCCCTAACTCATCAAAAGCAAAGCACCCGAGACTCTCCTCGGGGGCACGGGGTGGTCTCAGATCCCCGCGGGCAAACTTTTGCTCCAAAAAAAGCCTTCCCACGTTCCCCTGGATCCCGCTCCTGCAGGGACAAGCCCGCTCACCACAGAGCCTTCCCTACACACGCCCTGGCTGCGGGGAGGGGGAAAACAAGGAGCCCTTCCCAGGGACAGGGGCCCGAGGCTCCCGAGGACCCCGGGAGGGGCGAGGAGGGACAGGAAAGGGCGAGGAAAAGCCCTGGGGGAGGCGAGGGGGGACCCGGGAAGGGACATGGGAGGGATCCGAGAGGGGGAGACCCAGGAGAGGTAAGGGGGGGGTCCAGAAGGGCGAGGGGGTCCCGAGAGAAGCGGAGCGGGGAACCCGGGAAGGGCGAGAGGCCCCAGGAGAGACAAATGGGGGATCCTGGGAAAGGCTGGGGGGGGGCCGGGAAGGGGCGAGGAGGAGACGGGAAGGGCGATGGGGGACCCGGGAGGGGCGAGGGGGAACCAGGGAGAGATGGGGGGGGGGTCCGAGAAGGGCGAATGGACACACGGGAGGGGCGAAGGGGGGGTCCGAAAAGCTCGGGGGGCTCAGGGAGGAGCGAGGCGGGGGGACCCCCGAGGGGACCGCGGTGCCCCCCCCGCTCCGGGCCCCGGCGCTCACGTCAGGACGGGGATCGGGGTCCACACCACGCAGTGGGGGAAGCGGCCGCGCTCGGCATCCGGGGCGGCCCCGCCGCCGCCGCCGAACTGCTTCATGCCGGGCTCCGCCGCCGCCATGCCCGGGGCGCGCGCCCGCATCGCGTCACTTCCCGCGGGCCGCGCGCGCTGCCGGGAAACCGCCGGGACAGCGGGATAACAACGGGATAACGGGATAGCGGGGGACACGGGATAGCGGGGGACACGGGGGATAACGGGGGACACGGGATAGCGGGATAACGGGATAACAGGGGACACGGGATAGCGGGATAACGGGGGACACGGGATAACGGGGGACACGGGAACGGGACACAGGATAGCGGGATAACGGGGGACACGGGATAGCGGGGGACACGGGATAACAGGGGACACGGGATAGTGGGATAACGGGGGACACGGGGGACACGGGATAGCGGGATAACGGGGGACACGGGATAACGGGGGACACGGGAACGGGACACAGGATAGCGGGATAACGGGGGACACGGGATAACGGGGGACACGGGATAACAGGATAACAGGACATGGGAACGGGAGAGACCCCAGACCCCAAACGTCGGCGACACCGACGTCGGGCTGGAACCCCCACTCTGGTCCTGGACCCCAGCCCCAGGACCAGACCCTAAACCCGGGCTTGGACCCCTGCTACGGGACTGACACCCCCAGCCCCAGTAGTGGACCCCCATCCTGGTCCTGGACCCCCCCTCTCGTGGCCCAGCAACCCCAGCCCTGGTCCTGGACCCCTGTCCAAGTCCTGGACCTCAACCCCAGTCTGGACCCCAAATCTGGGCTGGGACCCCCTTTCTGGGCCAGCACCCCCAGTCCCCTGCCAGAAGGGAGCGAGGTTTGTGTCCCTGCCCTGGGACAGCCCCTCCCGGCAGGTCCCTTCACCCCTCACACCCACCTTGTGTGGATCCAGCGACCTCCTCCCTGTCGCCCTTCCCAGGGCAGGATCTGGAAGAGCCCCCCCAGGTGAAACCCCCTCAGGGAAGCGCAGGAGCAGGAATGACCATCACACGGAGACCCCCGGGAGAGGGGAGGAGGGGGAGGTACAGCCCGGGGAACAACAGCATTTACAGAGGGAGAATCGGGTTAGAAAAATAACAATTGCTTTATTAGGAAGTTTAATCCAAACTACACGAGGAAGCTGAAGAAATGCGTTTATTCCGGATTTCCACCCACCACAACACACTCAGAGCACAGAGCGAGACCCATGGGAAGCACAGGATGGGGATGTTCTGCCCCAGGGGTGCAGGAGAGCGTCCAGCATCCAGCCCCTGCTCTCCTCTCCACACTTTCCTTGGAAGCTGCTCATTTCCTCCTCACACGGAGACCCTGAGCCCTGTTTTCCTGTCGAGGGCATGGAGTGGCCAGAGCTCTCCAGGACATTTGTTGGTGTAACACTGCACCGTGCCAAGGGGTTTGGGAATAAAAATAAACAGTTTTTGCCCCTTCCTGCACGTGGTTGGGCTCCTCTCCAGGCAGCTCCAGCGCAGAGGCTTTGGGATTAACAAACCCTGTTCCCAACAGTCATCACAAACTTACAGCTCCCACTTTTTACTGACATTTCTCTCCTTCAACAAAGTCTTCTCCCTACTTTGTGTCCTGCTTTCCCTTACCTGACTTTTTCCAATCATTAAGCTGAGCCCAGCCTTTCACCTCCATCGATATTCTCTGTTCTGGGACAGAAGAGCACTTACAAACCCACGAGTTTGAGATTAGTGAAGCTTCCAGGGGGAAAGCCCAGGAGATGGGAGACCTCTGCCCATGTCAGAGGGGACACCATTTGGTGTCCTCCCATTTCCAGGGGCCACTGTGGCAGCAGAAATTACTAAGGTCTCATGTTGAGGTGGCCTCCCCACCTCGAGCCACACCAGCTCCTCCTGGGCACTCAGTCTTCAACACAAGCACCTCAGTAATGCCCTAAACACTACATTTACACATTTCCTCACCTCTACCGAGCCCTCAAGACTTCATCTAACATCCCACCTGATTTCCTAGTCTAGACCAAGGTTTAGGATAGCCTAAGAGGTAAATATTTCCAAGGCAAGTGTCAAGAGGATGATGCCAGACTCTGTTCAGTGGTGCCCAGCAAAGGACAAGGAGCAATGGCCATAAACTAAAACATAAAAGTTCCACCTCAGCAGGAGGGTGGCAGAGCCCTGGCACAGCTGCCCAGGGAGGGTGTGGAGTCTCCTTCTCTGGACACATTCCTGTGTCACCTGTTCCAGGTGACCCTGCCTTGGCAGGGGGTTTGGACTGGGTGGTTTCCAGAAGTCCCTTCCAACCCTGACTATTCTGTGATCCTGTGGAAGCTGCTTTGAGGGCATTGGGATGGACACAGAGTTGTCCATCTGGTGCTCACATCGAGCTGCAGCGTGGGCACTGTCTCTGTGTGACCTGTCACTCTGCCAGGAGCTGATCAAGAGCCTCAGACTGTGCTCCTCGGGATCTGACAGTAAAGGAATTCACAAAACAGTCTCCAAAAGAGAGAAAGCTGACGAAATCAAACACTCTTGAGAGCTAAGCCATGGCTGGTGCTTTGCTTTCTGACAGACACTTCCTATTTTAGGACAAGGAGCAGTGGGTACAAATTGAAAGAGGGTAAATTTAGGTTAGGTATCAGGAAGAAATTTTTAACTCTGAGGGTGGTGAGGCCCTGGCACAGGTTGCCCAGAGAAGCTGTGGCTGCCCCTGGATCCCTGGAAGTGTCCAAGGCCAGGTTGGACAAGGCTTGGAGCAACCTGGTCTAGTGGAAGGTGTCCCTGCCCATGGCAGGGGAGTGGAACAAGATGGGCTTTAAGGTCCTTTTCAACCCTAAACAATTTATGACTCCATTTTGGCACTTGGGATGGAAGATGCACACAGAGGTTGTCTTTCAGTGAACACTTTTTGTTCAACAAAGGAAAAAAAAACCTCTGGCATTAGTTTGCTCCCGGCCACCATAAACATCAGAGATTGTGAAAAACCCATGAATAGGGGCCAATGTTCACATCAGCTAATGTGGTCCTGGCATGTTTGTCGGATTAGGCAATGGATTTGCTCTTCCTGCTCGTGGCTCTGAGGCTGCTAAGCAGCATATCACCAGGGACCAGCTCCTTGGCAAAGCCACGCAGCAGGGACATCACTGACAGCCTCAGCAGGACACGTCCCCACAGTGCCACCTCCCGCGCGGGCAAGGGGCTGTTCAGACAGTTTATTCCCTCTCAAACCAAGTGCAGGAAGACAAATCCAGCTGCTGAAGCTCGGGAAGAACACAGCTTTCTCCAGGCTGGATTAAAAAAAAAAAAAATAATAATTAAAACAAAACAAAACAAAAAAATCGATAGAGCACTGGTGTATTGCACATCTCTTTGTGTTTGTCAGGGAAGCACAAGGGCTCTCCAGCTCCAGCACCGCACGGATGAGCTGGAGCTGACAGCAGGGTCTTCCTAGTGACAACTGGAAAGCTGCTGCTGTTGTGCTGCTATTGATCTAAGCAGAATACAAAACACCTGAAGTCAGCAGGGAAAAATAGCTGCAGTTGGAACAGGAACTGCAGGGGGGGCAGGGGGGAGAGGACAGGGAGGGGAGAGCAGGTAAGAAGTTCTCCATGCATAAAATTAAAGGCCAGGGTTTTATTGCAGCTCTCTTGCCTGACTACAGCACTGGATCGATGTGCAGAGCAGGAATGGTGCCATCATTGTTTGTGCAAGCTCTCGTTGGAGGAGAAACAAAAGGTTTTGCCAGGGACTTGCCCCTGATGGCTCCTCTCTGCTGTTGTCAGTGAGGAAGCAGCTCTACCTCCCCTCAGCCAAAACATCCTCAGGACAAGGAGGACGTTTCCCTGCTCACTGCAGGTGCCAGGGTGTTGCTCGTACCCTGGTGATCCAGAGCCTTCCTGAGAGGAGAGGATGGACCAGTTTGTCCAAGCACACACCACCATGGGAGCAGCTGGAGCCCCTTCCCAGCCCGGCTCATGGCAGAGCCTGGAAGGAGCGGGCGCCCAGCCAGCTCCTGTTCAGCAGCGCTTCCTTGGGAACCTTCCCTGTTGTGACAGCTCGAACATTAGAGGGACTGCCAGAACCAAACCACTCCAGGAGGAGATCCCCTCCCCCTCCTGACATTGACAGCCGAGGCGGCAGCAGGAGCCGACTGGAAATGTCACCGAGGCACCACGGGCTGATGGAGGACACGGAGCCCGGTGTCCTTCCCCCGCCCCGGAGGTGAGGCTGGGCTGGGTTGCTCTGCATTTTTGTTGTTCCCCTCCTCTGGTCTGTGCCTGCTGCAATCTCTGACAGGCTCTAATGGCTCAGCATGAACCAGAAACGTCACTCTGGGCTCTATTGATGATGGTGCTGCTCAGGAACAGACGCAGCTCAGCCACCCACCCCAACTGTGTGGCCCTGAGCCACCTCACCCCTCAGCTCTGACCTTCGGGTCTTTTCTCTTTCCTTGTCACTTGGAAGCTGCATTTCCTCCTCTCTCTCTCCCTCTCCAACTGACACAGCTGGTCCACAGGGCAACTTTTATGTTTAAAGGAAAAGCCACCAGTTTCTCAGGGACAAGTGGAAGCACTCACAGAGCCAAGTGCTGCTCACTATGATTTCTCAGCTATGAAATCCAGGACAAGACCCACCTCTTCTCTGTGCCAGCCCCAGAGAAGGTCCCCATCAGTCTCATCTCCTGCAGCAGCAAGGCCTGAAAAAATTCCAAGGACTGAACTCCCCCCTGCACCCACAGCAGGCAGATTCCCAACATCCTGCTCCCATTTTGCTCAGAGACAGGAGCCATCTTGAGCCCTTTGCACATTTGTTCCTGGCACTGCAACAGTTCCATCAGAGAAAAATGAATTTGTCAGTCAGGCTGTGACTGTTCCTCCCCCCACATCCCAGACTATATCACTCCTCTCCCTTCTCAACCCAATCCCCTCACCAAAATTACAAATAAAACTCATTTTCTGGGTCCTTCTACCCATTTCCACCCACGATTCAACCACTCAGCTTCCAACCACTCACTCCAAGAGCTGACCCAATTAGCTGATTGCCAATTCCAGCTATGGATGCTCATTGCTTTGTTAGAGCAGAGCTGCCTTTTCAAGCAATAATTTATATCAGACAGGATTTGAAATGAAGAGGCCTCAAAAGGCCTTCAGCTGAAAGGTGTCCAACGGGAATTTTTTAAAGAGTTCAAATGGATTCTCAAAACAGCAGACTGGTTTTCCAACTCTTCCTTAAGGGCTGCAGCTTGGAGGGCAGGGAAGTATTTGGGAGGTTTTGCAGCAGGAGCCCAGAGGAGAAAGTGAGTTTGTGAGATCCTTTGGCAAAGGATTATCTCTGGGTCTAAACGGTGTCGGACCCTCACTCCACTGACAGATGAGTTCCCAAACCTGGGTAAACTAACTCAGCACTAACTCAGTGGCAACCACAGCTTATAAACCACATTTTGGGCTCCCCAGCCCCCTTTCCACTCGAGTTTTTGGAGTCTCTGTTCTCCACAAAGCACAGACAACACCCAGCCCCAACCAGGCCACCCTCCACCCACCCACAGAGGAGGAAGGTAGAACAAAGCCAGAACAATCCCCCAAACAAAATGACACCAAGAAAGGACTAGAACAAAGAATTATTTAATCGCTTAACCCTTTCTCTTCCAGGGACCAGAGAAACAAGTTTTCTGCTCCTACTAATGAGGGCAGTAAGGCTCGTGTGTTACCTCTACAACTGCAGGGGCAAAGTTTACGAGATGATCATCTTTAGTACTCGAAAAAAGCGAGAAGCAATGGTCACTGCAACACTAAGAGAATCCTAGAGTCTCCTAACGGAGAGCCCATTGCTAGAATACAAAAATAAAGGAGGCATCCCTGCATATCCCAGGCTAGAAAGAGTTAACCAGAAAGAGCAGGAAGAAGCTTTCCCAAAGAGGGGGTTGAAGTAAACAGCAGAGGTCAATAAAGCAACATCTTCTCCCGACTTCCCCAGCATGTTTTTTCCCTTCACCAATAAATACAAATTCCTCATTAACAAGTGACAAGCAGGTAATCTGCCCACAACAAGGGAAAAAGGGGCTGGAGGCAGAAAGATTTTTCACTCCTATTATTATTTATCTTTTTTTTTTTTTTAACCAAAGCAGCCATTAAAAACAGCAACCCACTGCAGAGGCAGGGAATCTGTTTGCTTTCACACTGCAACTGGCAGGTAAAAGAGCTGCACTGTCTCACGAGTGTAAAAAAACCCCAAAAAATAGCTGCCACAGCAAAAGGTGAACGGGGAGGGAGAGGTTTGTTCTCTTCAGAGCTTTCCATCTCAGTCTCTCAGTCTAAAAATCAAAGTCTGCAGACGTTGTCTACTGAAAGCTGAAAAAAAAGTTTGAGTGGGAGGAGAAGAGGGGGAAAAAAAAAAAAAGGATGCATCTAGTAGGAAGCCTTAAGCAAAAAAAGAAAAGGGCAGAGCGTGTCAGAAAGCCACCCAAGTGAGGAGAATTTTCTGCTGCCTCTGGGTCTTGAAGAGCAGGTACACCCGGGGTGGGGGAGCCTGTACCCCAGCAAACAGGTGAACTGAACAGTCGTGGGTTCTGCGTGAAAACAAGCAAAGCTGCCCTCAGGAGCAGAGTGACCTGTCCCAGGTGAGCTCTGCCTCAGTGGGAGAAGGTGGAGAGGACTCTGCCATCCCAGAGCTCGAGGGGAGGCGGTCGTTTCAAGGGGCTCTCACTAAACCGGGGCGGACTCGGCTTCACTCCGAGACAGAGCAGGTGACGTCTGTCTGAGGGGCAGGGATGAGATCCCAGTTCTCTCTCCCTGCAGGGAACAGTGTCCTTGGAGAGATGCTGCCAGACTCCATGACCTCTCTCCCTCCTCATCTCAGAGACTGTTCTGGAAGGGAGAGGCAGCCCTTGCTCAGCCAGCACTGCGCAGCCTCGCTCAGCAACGCCTGGCAGCCAGAAACAGCCAGAGGAGGAAAAGGAGGCCTCTCCTCTTTCCACAGCAGCAACAGGAAGACCAGGGATTGCACCACATGGAAGAACAGCACACACACATGCGCACACACTCCCAGACACACACCTCACACCCCTGGGACCAAGGCTGGCATGTTCAGACCTTCAGCAGGAAGAGCTACGAGACAGCGCAGAGCGGTTCAGATCTCCAGGGGCTCTTTGGTCTTAGTTGATAGTCCTAGAAAAAAACAACCTCTGCGGGTTCGGTTGTAGCACAGCTGTGTAAGATCTGTTGGGTATTTAGTGTTTGGCAACTGCAAGAGGGAAAAACAGGGCTGTGTGCTACATGAGAGGGGAAGGAATGGAAGTACCAGTGCTGCGTTTCTTGGTGTGCTCCTGGCTCTGCAGCCAGTCAGTGTGTGGAGAGCGGGAAGAGGAAGGAGGTTTCCTGAGAGGATCATGAATCCATCCAATGTCACACCAACGAGGCAGAAGAGGCCCACCTCGGCCAAGACAGAGCAGCTGGCTGCCCAGAAATGCTGCTTCTAACAGCTCCAAACTGTAGTTGTAACATACACACGGTGACAACATTCTCAGCTCCCACACAGGTGACATGGAGAGGAGAAGGTGAACACAGCTACACACACTGAGCAACAGAGAGAGAGGCTGTGACCTGCCCCTTTCCTCAGCAGCTTCAGCTACACGAGTCCTAAGGCTCTGACCCAACCTGTCCCCACTGCTGTCACCTCCCTCCATGGGTTCATGGACCACAGGAGAAAGTACCAGAACTGGGCAAGCACATCCTGCCCTGTTGAGCTGCACATATCCAGTGCCTTCAACAATCCTTCAGCTAAGACAGGGGGACAAGACAGGCAATCTCCAGTCCTCAATACAGCACAGCCACATCTGCTGACAACGTGTCTGAGATGGAAGCCAGAAGAAAGATGTTATGGGATAAAACAGGTGTTTCATGGCCAACAACCTTAAACTGGGGGCCTCTAGACAGGCTGGTAGCACAGAGTCAAGCTTTCAGAATCACTGCAGTAAATTCATTCCATAACCCCTGCCCTAGGTTTGTATTTTATTCAGGAATTTAACATCCCCTCTGCAATGCAGGCAACATCACCCTGTACCACATCATACAGCAGCTCTGGAAAAATAATCACCAGTTACACTGCTTACAGACAACTCAAAGACCCCTGTTGGGACTAAATTCCACTAAAGGCAAACCCCGGACTGCACTGCCATGCTGTGGAGGAGGAGGAGGAGGAGGTGATGGTTTACAGAGACGGCCGCTCCTGCCCCTGCCAGCTTGTCCTACTCTGTGCATAGTGCGAAACAGTGCAGTCATTCACCAGAGAGAGTCCAGGACCAAGGAAACTAGGTTCCCTTTCAGCCAAACAATTAGAGGAAGGAGAGGCAGTTCTATTTTAGCTGGGCCGGCACTGGACTTGCCCCTCTGAGCTGTCTTCATCATCTGAGCCTCCAGCCCCACCACTGGTCAGTCCTGTGATCCGGTACCCCATGTTGAGCAACATCACCTCCAGAGGGTCCGCGTTCATCCGCCTCTGGTTGGCCTGGGAAGCACCTTCCATGTCCACCACCACGCGGCCGTTGAGCGTTTCACTCTGCAAGGCACCAAGGGAGAGAGCTCAGGGGCTGTTACTGCTGCTCTCACTAGAGATGCCAGTGGGGAGAAAACAGTAGGAAAGACCATGTTCCACCTCCTGACGAGAGGAGTCTTTGACTGCAGCTCTTACCTCTGGCCTGGGGTTCCACAGTCGCACGACCGGGTCGATGCCGCTGGTAGCCAGGAAGCAGTAGCTGGGATGAGGCTGGAGACAGTTCACAATGGACTCGTCTCCCTGCAGCACTCGGACCAGGTTGGTGGTTTCCTTCTCCCAGATGAAGAAGGAGCCGTCGTCCGACCCGCTGACTATGTACTGTGCATTGCTAGGGCGAGAGGAGCACAGGCTGGAGGTCACAGCTCAGAGCCAGTCTCTAGCAGACAGGAGAATCTTCTAGAATTCACAGGCTGACACCCCTCATGCTGACAGATCCAGATAAAGCTCCTGTGCTGGTCCCTCTATCCCCAGGAGTCCTGTTTTCAATCCCAAATGGATTTCTGAAACACTAACCCAACCAGGTCCCTCTGTGGATCTCCTACTGATCAGCTACTCGTGCAGCCACACAGGAGGAGGGTTCCTGTTGTCTTTTTTAACCCTCCAAACCAGTGCCTGTGTCATTTTATAAACACATGAGGCTTTATCCGACGGAAGAGAGCATCCTGCTGCTGCCCACACCCCTGTCCTGCACCCCTGCCACTCTCTGCCAACATACCTGCCAAAGAAATTGGCCTCTTTGATGTCTGTAGTGGTGTTACAGTGGCCACAGTATCGGAATTTGTAGTCGTAGCTGCGCTCCCTCAGCACCATCTCGTCCTCAGAGATGGAATCCTTGCGGCCTGTGGCTCGGAGCCGGATGGGGCCTCCCCCTTTCTTGTCTTCAGCTGGAAGGACAACAGATTTTTTTCCCCTCGACACCATTTGGGGAGGAACACGTTCTAAGCAAACAGCACTCCAAGAGACCCCAACAGCTTTAGGGAAGAGTTAAGGACGATTCCAGCAGGGAGCAGGGCTTAGAGCACCAGCTTCCTTCCAGATTATCTCCTGGCTACATCAGACTCCTTTTATCACACTCTCACTCAAGAGCAAACCAGGACCAGGCGCAAGGAAAGAACAGGCTCAGGCCGGTTTTTGTGCACGGTAACAATCAATCTCTCTCAGAAGTTGGAGCTTTACTTCTGAGGGGCAGTTTAAGGAGGAAAATCCTTGTCTGATCATTAGATTTCAGTGTAACCTTGAAGGAGCACACGGAGCAGTGGCACTCACCATTATCACTCTTGGAGAAAAGGGCTGCATTGATGTCCCTGTCCAATGCATCGCAGGCACTGCTGTGTGCTTGTTCTGGAAACTTCCCTTTAAAGTCATCCAGACACTCCAGTGCTTCTGCCACATATTTGAGTTCAAAGAGACAGCGGGCGAGGCGGAAATGGGCCTTCAGGTGGCATGGATTTAAGGATATGGCCTTCAAGCAGTCTCTCAGAGCATCGTAATGGTCCCCGTCCCTGAGGAAAAGGGAGCAGTGGATCACACAGCCCGAGCAGCAACAGCAAACATTTTCCACTGCCGTTTCCCAGCCCTCATTTCACACCACAGCTTGTTGTTTCCAGCTCTTTCCACGCAGCAGGCACCCCACAAAGCTCACTAACAGCATTTGCTGTGTCTCGGGGCCACCACCTGACCCAGCCCAGCTTCCCCAACGCCCACAGGCAGCCCTGGGATGTGACCACACAGGGATGCCCTGCGAGCCCTGACCTGCCATTTTAAATCCGGGAGAGCAGAGCTCCCTGCTGTAACACATTTCGGGAAGTCCTTTGAAGATGGAGGATGCAGCAGCCCTCTGGCCAGGCAGCACAGGCCTCCCGTGCCAGGCAAACAGGCTCCTCACACGGCAGCTCACTCGTGCCCCTGTGTGGACACACGGCACAGCTCCTGCCCACGGACACTCAGAGCCCTCAGCCAGGAGCTGCAGAACCACCCACCCCACCTCAGAGCCCTGATGGACAAATAGCTCAAGCAGGAGTCTTTTTTTCACCTTTACAGGAAAAAACTTTGAGTTTTAGAAATGAGTGTTACAGCAGACTGGTATGGTAATGGATATTGATATTCTGTTTAAAGTACTATGCTTGATTTCCCTGAGCTCTGGCTGTGGGAATAAGGGTGTCCCCGCTCGTGCTCTGGGAGCGGGAGGGATTTGTTGAGCCTTGTGTGGTGCTCAGCTCAGACTGACAGGGCTGACACACCTGGTGCACCAGCATCGAGCCTGAACTGCTCAGAGGCACCACAAGCTGTCCTGAGAGAGTGCCATGTGATGGTTAATAAATAATAATAATAATGATGTTTCACCCCGTAACCTATATGCCCCATTCCTTGGAAGTGTTCAAGGCCAGGCTGGATGCAGTTTGGGGCAACCTGGGCTAGTGGAAGGTGTCCCTGCCCATGGCAGGGGGTGGAACTGGATGATCTTTAAGGTTCCTTCCCACCCAAACCATTCCAGGAGTCTGTGATTCCATGCACTGTCTGAAACAGTCCTAAAGGGAAGATGATGAACTGCCCTGTGCCTTCTACAGGGTAACAGTTTTAGATCATACGGAGCCTTTGTCACGGAATCACAGAATCCCAAAATGGCTCAGGTTGGAAGGGATCACTGGAGGTCACGTAGGACACCCTCCCTGCCCAAACAGGGTTCTCTACAGCATGTTCCCCAGGACTGTGTCCAGACAGCTTTGGAATATCTCCAGTGAGGGAGACTCCACAACGTCTCTGGGCAGCCTGTCCCAGTCCTCTGTCACCCTCACAGTAAAGAAGCTGCTCCTCACATTCAGGTGGAACAGGGAAGAGGTGTTCCAGTGCCTGGACTCGTCTAGAGGAGCTCCAGCTCTTTGGGTTACACTCTAAGGAGCAGTGTAACAAAACATATTCTGCAAACCATTGACCCTCCAGCTCCCTCCTATCTAGGTGGATATCGGCCACTGGCCAGCACAGTCAGAAGGTGGAATGCCTTGTCCATGAGATCTGCAGAAGGGTAGCAGGAACGTTGCTCTTCAGGGCTGTCTTTGCAGCACTGTCTGTGTTAATTCAGGAAGCTGGACACAGCAACAGGCCACTTTTAATCAGAGGAAGAGGGGATGCAAGTTATTTGTTAGGATGACAGACTAGTGTGTCACATTTTCAGACCTGACTGGGTTATGAGCTGCTTTACCACTCTCAAACATCCTTCAGCCTCAACTTACCAGTGTCAGCCCAACAGACTGGTGTGAAAACGTACACAGTGAGATGTAAAGCAGGCACTGACTTCTCCCTTGGTTACAGCTTTGACTCAGCCTGTGCAAAACTGGGAATCAGCTCAGTACTGTCAACATGGACTGCTAAAAGCAATCCAGAGGGTGATGCAGTTGGCTTTTAGGAGCAAAATATCAAAGAACAGCCTTGAAGTGCTGTAGAGTATGAGCAGCATCTTAAGGGAGATGAGCAAGGGGAGGTTAGGAAATTACAGACCTTCCTTTTTTCTTGATCTCTCTGTTATTCAGAGAACAAGGCCAAAGCAGGACCTGCAGGGTTCTGAGGGTGGCCTATACCTGTTCCTGCTCCAAACATCAAGAACACCTCAGAGACACGCTGTGGTTCAGTGTGGGTCACTGCCTGCCTCTGCCTCCTGCTCAGTGACATCCCAGCCACCTTCTCCATACACCAGAAGCTGTTTCTAGCAGAAAAATGTCCCTTTTCTGCACCTGGAAGAGATCAGCTCAGTACTATTTAAATTCTACCCATTGCATGCCACAGAAACCCATTGTGTGCATGTTTTTCACATCCTCCTGCTACCAAAAACTGTGGCAAGGCAGTAGCTGACACACTGAAAGGTTCAGATCTGCCAATACCCTTCGGGAAAAACGATTCCTATATGAAAAATGTCATTCATGAGATCAGCACTCAGCTTCTGTCTTCCATTCCTTAATCCCAACCTATTGTTCCTCTCCCTCTGAACACTGAGGTCTTTTTGAGGCAGCTCCCAAATCTCTGCTATTGCAAAACAGCCAGTAGGCCAGTTACCAACAGTCACAACAACTGCTGGCTGCTCTTTATCTTGGCAAGAGGAGAGGAGAATTCATACTGGGGATTTCAGCAGGGAGAGGAGAAGGATATCCTCACAAAGCAAATGGAGATGAAGGACCACAGCTATTTTAAATATGTTAATGGCAAGTCATGCTACTCAGTCTTACTCTGCTCAAGGGGACAGACACTAAAATAACTCAGCTGCATCTTGCAGATGCAGCTCTGGCCACTGGTCAGAGAGACATTACCTACTGCAGAGGCTGATAGGGTGTTTTGCAACCATTAGGACAGAATCCCCTTCACATTCCAAGGCACCAGTTGCCACCTCTCCAGATCCCTCTGAGAGGTTTCCAGTCAAGGGGAGTGTGGGTTAACTGGGGTAACACAGAGGAATCACCAGGTCTGAATATCTCCAGTATGAGGTACTTGGATAAAGCAGCAAACAAAGCCACCCCAGGCAGCCCTAAACCAACCTTCTACCATGAGATGTTATAAAGCACAGTCACCATTACCTCATCTGTTGACAGCAGCCTTAGAGCCCTACTCTAATGCAGATCAGAGCCATCCAGAGAAAAGCAAACACCCTTGGAGACACCCTGTGACTCAGAAGTGGACTTTGAGTTTCTTTTTAAAAAGGGAAGGATCAAAACTTCACTCAGCATGTCAGCAGGTGAGATGATGAGCTTTATCAGCTGGGACTGACCATAATTTCTCCAACACACACTGCTGTGCCAGAGGTGCCCACTTATGACTCAACCCAATAACCCCAACCCCACAGGAAAACCAGGTCCTCCAACAAGATATCCGTGGTCCTTGGAAGTCAGGCACCTGTGACACTGAACTCTGACACTCTGGCTCCTTACCACTTGCGCTTCATGTAGGCAGCAGCCCTGTTCCCATAGAGCATGGCATTGTTGGGGGCTTTCTGCACTGCTTTGCTGTAGAGCTGGATGGCCTGAGTCCACAGCTGGCAGGCAAAGGCCTCGTTGGCTTGCTGCTTGATCCTCTCCAGGTAAGGAGGTAACTCCACTTGGGGGCTGATGGGAAAGAAGGGAGGAGCACAGGTAAGTTGGACATCCTTAACTCCAGGTAAATGTTTGTGGTGCTTAGTTCGAGCTTAGCAAGTCCCAGCGAGCATTAGCTAATACCAAAGGATTCAGGAAAAGGCAGAAGAGACCCTGGATCTGAATAACCTGAATTTAGGAGGAAGGTTTCTTTTTGACCACAGAATCACAGAATGATTTGGGCTGGGAGAGACCAACTCCCTGCCATGGGCAGGGACACCTTCCACTAGCCCAGGTTGCTCCAAGCCCCGTCCAACCTGGCCTTGGACACTTCCAGGGATCCAGGGGTAGCCACAGCTTCTCTGGGCAACCTGTGCCAGGGCCTCACCACCCTCACAGGGAAGAATTTCTTCCTAAAGTCAAGAATTTCTTC